AGAGGTGCTCGGCGGCGCTGTGTGACCGGGACGGGGCGCACTGGGGAGGCGGGCCGCGCACGCACGGCTCCACTGAGGCTACAAGAACGTGAAAAAGCCTACTGGCCTGAGCAAGGCGAGGGACGTCTTTCTCGAAGTGGGAGTGGGATGGGGTAAACGACACGGTACCATGAGCTCCTGTCAGCCTTCCCACGTGACTGGAGGTCTGCAGGCTCAAAGTGACCCCAGGGGAAAGGGAGTGGACAGGCTTCTGGGCCTGAGGAGATACAGGTGCGAAGTGGGGGTCCTAACGAAGGGCTGGGGGCTCGGCCCTTCAGCCCACGTGGAAGCTGGTATCCGCAAGAAAGACCTGGGCAAGCAGGGGTGTGTGTGGAGGGGTGGGGGAGAATGTCTCACCCGTGTACCCCCTGACCGAATGGCATTGTCCCGAGAAAACGAGGCAGCTAAACTGGGATTCTTGGTATTCACCCCCCAAATGTCCTGGCATTTCATGGGTGTAAGTGCCTAGGTGCCTTGTTCCTGATGAGGGCTGGCGATGGGCCATCTCCCCTCGGGGACCCTCTGATCGTCCTGACCCAGGAAACTGGGGCTGGTTCTCCAATCGGCATGTCTGGGAGCCCTGCACCGCCTAAGAGTGGCTCCCTCCGCAGCACTACAGCCTGGAGAGCAGTGGTGCCAGGAGCCTCCCTGGACTGTAAGACCCAGAGGCCTGAGAAGGTGGAACTGGGGTGGAAGGGCTGGCTGGGAGTATAGGACTCAGGGCTCTCAGTAGGCCTGCTGACTTCCTCTTGGGCTAGTAATGTTCCTGACTCCATCTCCTTTTTCTTCTGGGGAGCCTCTTTAGGTTGTGAGCCTAGGCCATCACAAGACTGCCCAGTGGAGCCCAGATAGCCCGAAGTGCATGGGGCCACCTGTTGTGGAGGCCACTTAAGGGGTGCAGGAGGAGGTACTATCTGGCAAATGTGTTGGGAGCATGAAAAGGTCCCACAAATTTTATGCCTAGGTGGGAAGGCTCCTATTAGAGCTGCCCATTATGCCAGTCGCTGGTCACATGTCGCACTGAGGAATTTCAATCTGAAATAGCCGTATGTGGTGACTGCTGGCACTGTACCCCCCCCCCCCCCCCC